ATGCACTGCAATCGTATGTTACGTATCACTTGGGTAGACCAATTTACTGTTACAATATCTCTACTCTGTATTACCTGCTTTCCCTTTTTCCTGACTTATCTGATTTTCTGCATAATAGCTGCTAATCAATTTGTTGCTCACTTCGCTATTTACTTGACTGTGTATGTGCTTATTTAATGCGAAGAAATATCAGCAACAATTGCCGTCTGTAGAGCTCTGTAATTCCTACTTAATACATAAAAAACTCCTCATGTATTAATATTTATCTCTTTTGAAGATATAGAATTAGTAAACTCTATTTAATAGCTGCCTATACATTGTTCTATGCAATATTTTATTTTTGTGTTACCACTAGACATTTGTATTCCCCCCTTGTATTTAAGATAATCACATGGATATAGTTCTATGCATCACCGGACTGCCTTCCCTGCGAGCATTTTCTCTTAATATGTATTGATGTACATTTTTTTTTGTGTTCTATGCTGTTTATGGTTCTCCTAAGTCTGTGTCCTTGTGACACAGTTGGCCGAGGAAAATGGGAGTTGCGGTCAACTTTTAAACCCCGGCAGTGTTCCGGTTTATCATGCATTCCAGACATTTCTAGGTTACAGGTTGAAAAGCAAGATCTTCCCTCCCATAAGGCAAGATCTTCCCTCCCATATGGCATCTTTGCACCGGCAGAGTGGGTGCACGCCACAACCAACTGTGTTGCAGACAGGGACATCAAATGGGTGTTCACTTTTTTTGTGGGTGGTCTAAGGAAACCATAAAATGACAGGTAGATAGCTGTTTTAATGAACTGGTTTGTTGGAGGTTCAAAGGGTGCTGAGCCCAACAGATCGGATAGAGATTGAAATAAATGGCTGTGAATGGGGAATCTCTTTTTGTGGTTGAGTGACACTTGATTTTTGTATGCCTTTTAGTATTGTTCTTATCTGGTATGAAGATAGAAAACATGGATTGCCGGCCATTGATTATGTATTTGGCGTTGTTTGACTCATCTCTGTTGTTTATAAGGCTTAGAGGGAGCCTTATGTTGTAAGGTGTGTCACCTACGTTAATTTTTGTATTTTTATATATATCTTTTAGTTAGGTATATTAGCGCTTATCCTTTTTTATCCTTTTGTCTATCTATGGGGCGTTTTATGCCTGTTACATTTAACTTTGTTTAAATCTGAGGTGGCAAAAAGAGGCAAATCCCACCAAAGATTCCATAGCAAAACCATGACATATCTCATATTCTGCTACAAAACTGTTAAACAATTGAAATATGATTTTATAAGATTTTCTAGTGTTAACAGAGAGTGCCAGTTAAATATGTTTCTGGCCATGAGGCAAAAGTGTCATGGGTGGCGGTATGGGGACCAGGACCCCTGAGTGATGATGGGAGTCTCAGCGTGGTAATGGACCATCAGGGCCTGGTGCAGGGTAACCACACGCCCCCTAGTGTTGAGCACCAGCGTTTGTGCGGCCACATACATCTGCAGATCCCAAGAGCTAGGAGATTGATATGCAGACCTCCCAGGAACTGGATAGGGAGGCTCTGCAGCAGACATGCATCATGTACAGAAACAAGGCAAGACTAGAACAGGCATCAAACAAGAAAACAAGACAAGACTAGAGGAACTCAGAACTGGCGCAGGACAGAAAGTATAACCCAGAACATGTACACAAGACATGAGGGAAATATGAACAGGGCAGGACAGGACAGGACTGTACATGAACTGGGAATACAAGACAAAATAAGATAAAAGATAAAACAAGACCAGAGATGCAAGGAAAAACAAGAGGAGACAAAACTAAGTACTATATATGTAATAAACATTGGAGATTTAGACATACATAAATGGCCAAGATGTATGCAGCCCACCAACTGTGTCAAAGTCCTCCAATTAAGGTGGGTCCTATCTACCTAGATATGCATGACTAAATAAACAATAATAAAACACACACAGCACTTACCTGCAAGAAAAGGTCAGAGGACTTGTAGCAACTGCCTGCAGAACCAGACTGAAACAAAAGTGTAACGGAGCTCCTAGTACTTCGACCGAGTATCTCCGTTGATGGATGCTCCTAGTGCTTCCCGAGGGCTCCAAGCACTACTCCAGGCATCATAAGCACTGCAGACCGAACCTCTCTTCCTGCAGAGAGTGAAGCTGGAACAAGCCCTTAAAAGAGCTTAGTGATTATAGCTAGGGGAGTATACAGAGTATAGCAATCCCTCAGTGTAGATGCAGTCGTATCCCCCAATCATGAGACGAGGGTCAAACAGGAACAGCCAGAGCTGTGTTTTTATTGTTCTTATTTACACATTTTTACACAATAGTACCACCCACGGGATTTTGTGGAACATCCAATCAAACACGTAATATACAGTAAAACACTTCCATTCATTCCAGCAAAATCCTCCCCTGTGATATAATTACTGAACACAATGGGCTAACGTAATTATCACAGGCAGGAAAATACACAGTTTTACACAATATTCATAATTTTTAAAGTATACATCACATTCACATTCACATTCATTCAACTTACATTTTCAGAATCAGCATACTCCAAATACAAACATATTCAAAAATCAGACAATTCCCTCCAGTGGTTTAAAAGTTAGGTCGAAGTCCTTTGTGACTAACTGCAAGCATGGCTTTCCAGCCCAAACCAGTTCCACAGAGTTAGGCAGTGCAAGATAATTGTCTTAACTGAGTGTGGTAAGCCAACTGTATCGAGGTACAGAAAATATCTCTATTCACAACAGCAAAAATACACATAAATACATAACTCCTATCATACTGAACAGAATGCCCACATTCAACCCATCCCCAGATGGCTTGTATCTGAACGCTCAATATATCCAAACAGCACTCAGATCCCACAAATATAGGTTGAATGGTTAAAAAAAATTAAATCTGTTTAGTTTGGAAAAATGCCTCGCCCGAGAGGGGATATGATAACTTTATACAAATATATTCGGGCCAGTACAAACCTTTATCTGGAAATCTATTCATAAACAGGGTTATACATAGGACACAAGGTCACACATTTAGGCTGGAAGAAATGAGATTTCATCTAAGGCAAAGAAAAAGGTTTTTTTACAGTAAGAACAATAAGGATATGGAATTCTCTGCCTGAAGAGGTGGTTTTGTCAGAGTCCATACAGATGTTTAAACTGAAATTGGATAAATACTTACAAAAACATAACATACAGGGATATAATTTCTAATTAGTGGGGTAATAGCTGCTTGATCCAAGGAGACATCTGACTGCTATTTTGGGGTCAAGAAGGAATTTTTTCCTACTTTGTGTCAAAATTGGAAGTGCTTCAGACCAGGTTTTTTGCCTTCTTTTGGATCAACAGCAACAACATTTGTGAGGAAGGCTGAACTTGATGGACGCAAGTCTCTTTTCAGCTATGTAACTATGTAATAGTCAAATCGCCATGGGGTTTAAGTTTAGCATGAGAGGGGGCCATAGTCATGAGGCAGGAGGCTGACAATCAGGCTTTTCCATAACCCAGGGAAGGAGGGCAATTTATCATAAGAGCAAATAGGGACAAAAGGCGTTTTGTAACACAGGCTTCTCCAGGACCCAGTGGCGAGGTTAGTTTTGCCACAAAAAGGATTAATGGAAAAGGACCGGGTGTGGCAACATAAAACAAACATTTAAAGGAATCCAAGAGACTGGGAATTCTAGGAATGGAATACAGGAATGAACCCAGAAAACCCATCATAAAGAAAACCAGACAAAAACTAAACAAGAATTGTAAAAAGAGTACTGAATACCAGAATCCAAGGCCAGACATCTCCGCAGAACAGAACAGGATGTGACAAAAAGATCACTTAGTTCATTGTCATGTCCTGGAACAGATGGGATGGTAATGCCAGTCAGGTGGCAGTAGGTAGGGGTGTGTGACATGCCTGAAAATGAAACCGAGATAAGTGATCAGTAGTGACCTTATCATATAGGTAAGCAACCTTATATATAACAGGAACATGAATACATACCAAGAAAAACTGATTATAAGCGGCCAGCCATGTCAGGGATTTTTAACTAGGCCCTGTCGTAGAATGGGGAGCAGAGAGATCAATAATCAACCTTTGCTTTAGGAATGTTTCCTGTGACAGTTCTGATAGGATGAAAAAGGTAAAGACTGAAAAGGACCCAATAGAAAACCTTTATCTTTATCTTGTTTAATTATTGAGTTGATAGTAGAGTTGAGCGGACACATGGATGTTCGGGTCCGGCGGGTTCTGCCGAACTTTGAAAAAAAGTCCGGGTTCGGGCTCGAACTTGACCCCGGACTTGACCCCGAACCCCATTGAAGTCAATGGGAACCTGAACTTTTGGCCACAAAAATTCCTCTAAAAAACTCCTTGAAAGGGCAAGAGAGTTGCAAAAGGAAGTAAAATGGGGGTAAGAGTAGGATAAGTGCCCTGCAAACAAATATGGATAGGGAAATCACTTAAAATAACATAAAAATAAAAAAATACAGCTGAGCCATAAAATAGCACTAGATGGAATCTTTGATTTTAGCTTTGGAAGAACATAAAGCAAAATCTACAGCATGGCTGTCAGGAGGATCACCAGAATTATCCATTTGAGAGAGGGTTGGAGTGCAGGGTATTATTCTCTTTCATTATTCAAACTGAGCTCAACTCCTGATGCATGGGAAAAAGGCCTTCACAGGCCTCTGCTAATGTGTACCTAGTTTATACTAAGTGACCCATAGGTTGAGGAGGCGGTGACCGAGGCAGTGGAGGAGGAGGACGAGGTAGCCAACACTGTTGTTTATGTTTTTTTTTATTTTTTTATTGTGGTAGCCCACAAAATATTGGGACATACAACAAAACAAACATTTGCAGCCTGCGGTTTATTTCTTGCAGTCCTGATGCATGGAGAAATGCTCAACTCTTGATGCATGGAGAAAAGGCCTTCACAAGCCTCTGCTAATGTGTACCTAGTTTATACTAAGTGACCCATAGGTTGAGGAGGCGGTGACCATGGCGGTGGAGGAGGAGGAGGAGGTAGACAACACTGTTTTTAAATATATATATATATATATATATATATATTATTTTTTTAATTGGGGTAGCCCCCAAAATATTGGGACATTGTTCCGCAGAGTAGCTGTTAACATTATAGTTGCGCAGGAACTTTGTTGACTCTAGAGAACCTTGGGCAAATCGCACATCCCCATGGCGGCGACTTTGCATGCAGATGTCATCCATATCAACTTTCGATGCCAGTTTCTGCGCCTACCATGGTGACCATGGGTAACGGGGAATCAGGGTCCCGTTCCATACAGGTACCCTGAGAAACAGCTACCACATACAAGGAAGGCAGCAGGTGCACAAATGACCCACTTCCAACGCGGGAAGGTAGTGACGACAAATAACAATACAGGACTCTTTAGAGGTCCTGTAGTTGTAATGAGTCCACTTGAAATCCTTTAACTCTGATCAATTGGAGGGAAGTCTGGTGCAGAGCCACTGATCCGTGCATGCTGCAGCTGAAACTCCACTATTGCCTGCTGCTGCTCGCACAGTCTCATGAGGCGGTGAGCGGGAAGGCCGAAGTTATGCTGCAGCGCAGACAGACGAGCAGCAGCAGGGTGACAACGCCAAAAGCGCGCACAGCCGCTACAGTGAATGTCACATCCTGTTCCAAGTTGCTTATAAGTCTGGTAATGGCTTCTGGCAGGGCCAGCCCTAGGCCCTTAGGCGCCCTGTGCAAAAAATCTTTGCAGTGCCCCCCCCCATCATTCTTTTTATAGTGTATTAAATAAATAATGATTTAAAAACAAATAGTAATTCCTCCTTTCCTGTTGTTACCTAGTTGGGAGAGGGGCATGCTGATCTGAATCTGGTCTGCCCCTCCACTGGGTGCAGACCATGCGTAACTGTCTCGCAAGCTCAGGGACTTGCAGTGTCCTGTGGTAATTTGCGGCAGAGCTCTGATTGTCCGGAGCTAGGAAGACAACTACTTATGGTCTGCAGCCAACAGAAGTGCATGCCAGATGTGTCAGACTGCAGAGTCACATGCACACAGTTCCACAGTCAGATGCACACAGTTATACATATATACTGTCAAATACACAGGATCAGGCAGGAACACTCAGGTACTGGCAGTTACACACATAAACAGTTACAGGCAGATAAACACACTCACACAGTTACAGGCAGACAGTAACACACAGTTACATACAGTCAAACACACAGTTACACGCAGACAGTCACATACACAATTAAAATCAGACAGTAACACACACATACACACACAGTTACAGGCAGACAATGACAAACACACACAGGTACAGACAGACAGTCACATACATACAGACTCTCACACACACACACACACAGTTACATGCAGACAATCACATAAACAGAGGCAGTCACACACACACACACAGACAGCTTCACACACAGACAGTCACACACAGAGGCAGACAGACACACACACACACAGACAGCCACACACACACACACAGGCAGATAGTCACACACACAGACACAGGCAGACAGCCACACACACAGGTACTCACACACACAGGCAGACAGCCACAGGCACACACACAGGCAGACAGGCAGACATGCACACACAGGCAGACAGTCAAACACACACACACACAGGCAGACAGCCACACACACAGGTACTCACACACACACACACACACAGAGGCAGACAGCCACACACACAGTCAGACAGTCACACACACACACACACACAGGCAGACAGTCACACACACACAGTCACACATACATACATACAGACACACACACTGGTGGACAGCCATACACTCAGGCAGACAGTCAGACAGGCACACACACAGGCAGACAGCCACACACACACACACAGGCAGACAGTCACACTGTCAGGCAGAAAGTCTCACACACACACACACACACACACATGTACTCACACACACACAAAGGCAGACAGCCATACACACATGCAGACAGTCACACACACATGCACACACACACACACACACAGACAGGAAGACAGTCACACACACACACACACACACAGGCAGGTAGACAGTCACTCGCACATAGGCAGACACACACACAGTCACACGCACACAGGCAAACAGCCCCACACACACACAGTCACACGCACACAGGCAGACAGCCAAACACACACACACACATACAGGCAAACAGCCACACACACAGAGGTACTCACACACACACAGGCAGACAGTTGCACATACTCACACACACTCACAGACAGGCAGTCATACTTGGTTACCTCTGTCCTTTATGGTCTGGGAGGAGTGAAGGCAGTGCAGCTCTAGTTGTTGGGGAAGCAGGGACTCCTTCCTGCTTCCCATGCAGCCGGTATTTTAGCTCCACCCCCGCAGTCATTTAAGCTCCGCCCTGCCTCCACCCGGGTAGCCGGCCATGTGTGAGCTGTGTCGGCCACATGGCGTCCCCTGCTCCATGGCTCCCTGTGCGGCCGCACAGCTCGCACACCCCTAAGGCCGGCCCTTGCTCCTGGTATCAAGTACTCTTTTACTGAAGCTGCATCAGGGTCCTGGTATGTGGTCGCACAAACACTGGTTAACCTGCACCAGACCCTGCTAATCCATTCCAGACCGTGACTCCTAATTTCAACATCAGGCATACTGGGTGCCGGTCATCCGACCGCCGCCCAGACAGTGTCTAGGGTCCTGGTCACCGGACTGCCCACCTCACTGTGAAACTATGAATGGATCGTTAAATCTGGTACGAACCCGAACTTTGCAGTTCGGGTTCGCTCAAGTCTATTTTGGATCCTTTGATCGATACATGTATTACTTGTAATTCTTGAGCTAATACATGCCGATGAATGCTAGGGAATGGCCGCTCCGCTTTTGCACCCTGCTCCCTCTTATGCTGTGCTGGTGCCTCTGTGCGATCAGTGCCTCTTCCTACAAACTGCACACGTCACTCACATGACCTTGATTCCATGTGGGGTCTAGGACCTCATCATCCTCCTCATCATCTTCCACCCACTCCTCAACCCTGCCCTCCTTGCCGTTATGCACACTGCAGAAAGCCACAGCAGTTGGCACCTGTGTTTTTCCAGCATGTAAAGACTGCAAAGGACATATGTAAATTGTTTTAAAATTTCTTCCAGGCAACAGTTTTCCCTATAAACTGACCTCTCGGTTTGACTTGTGAGGGTATTGCCCCAGAATTACAATATTGTTGAAGTACCTCTTAGCAATTGATCACTGGTTTTAATATATCAGTGATCATGCAGTGATATTAATGGACACCTACCCTATACAAAGGGTCGTCTAGTCCTGGTATTATAGCGGTATCACTTTAAATTCAGCATATACATAAATGGAAAGAAAAACATATACAAGAGAATGATAGTGTAAATCTATATGATAATTTGCCATTTGTGCAATAATCAAACAGAATGCCAACTCACGTGATGTAGAGCCTGAGATGGGATAGACTCAAATCACTTGCACTTTAGTACCGTCTGGTGGTACTTGTCCCCTTTAAAGATGCTGGTGGGATCCCTCAAAGGTAGAAGATATAGGGATAATACAATAAAAAATAATATAGTGTAGTACCTTTTAACATAAGGGTGAGTGTATTATAACTTTAAGTAAATGCTCACCTTATTCAGAGCCCAGGTACTCGGCTCTGAGTTTTTTAGCGTGAGTGTCAATAAGGGAGACACCTTCCCTCCTTGGAACAGGTTTGATGAGGACCAGAAAGGGACTTAGATAAAAGGTAAAATTTATTCCGCCAACAGGCAATAAAATACAAACAAATAAATAAAAAAAACACAAAATCGAATAAAAAATGTCCCACAAGTGTCCTTTACTTCCGAGACGCGTTTCACCCTACTTGAGGGCTTTCTCAATCGGTATTCACTGCTCCTCTGCTTATCCTGTTTAAATATAGTGCTCTGGTTCCCCATTGGTGGATTCCGTTATTAATTAGCCAATCCAATACCTCGTTTAAGGGGAGTGTATTGTGGCTTGTTGTATCTTGTTTTCCTGATTACGTCCCTGACTGGAAGTGACGTCAGGCACGTTGCCACGTCACTTCCGATAATGCGATCGACATTTTACTAATGGGCGACAGATCGGGAAAATGACAGAGCACCATATATTCGTGCCTGTCACTCCTATTATGCCCATCAATGCATATTCATTGAACAATATGTTTTTAATTTAGCCAATATATATAATATGTACACATATCCCATATCCTTTATATTTAGAAGGCATCCTCATTTGCATAAAATAGGTAAAAGAAATGTTGGGAAAAAACGAAAAATATATATGTTAATACACAATAAAAATTAATGATTTTAAACAAATTAAAAAAACTTTAATCCTATCAAAAAAATGACTGTTGATTAAATAGTAGAGTAGGATTCAATTAGTATCTAACCTTAATTATTTATGAGTCCTAATTCTATTTAGGAATCATCTGTGATTAAATTATCACTTAAAAAAAACCTATAAGATTAAGTAAATATAAATAAACTAAGCATGTTGTAGAAAAAAGATAAATTATTTTAATCTAAATGAATAATAGAAAATCAGTACATGCTTATTGGAAAAATGTCCAGTTATCATAAAAAATGACACATTTCGAAGTCACCATTAAGGCCAGTGGGAATCATGGTATTGAGATTAAAGATCCATCTCATTTCATGTTGTCCCATCTTCCTCATTGGATCCTCGCTCCTCCAATTGATATTAACAATTTGAATGCCCATAAAAGTCATTTCGGTTGGCTCACAGTTATGGCTTTGTTTAAAATGGGCTGAGAGTCTATGTTTATCAAATCCCTTCCTAATATTACGGATATGTTCTTGAATTCTTATATGGATTGCTCTAGAGGTCCTACCTACATAACTTAAACTACATTGACATGCGATGAGGTAATTAACTCGCTTGGAGTAACAAGTAATAAGTTTATTTTAAAATTATTTTGCTGTTTACTTTGAAGTTGAGGATCATGGGGGGGAAATGAGGTTATATATCTCTTTTTTTGGCTGCTATTTCTGCAGGCACCACATGTGCCACAGCCATAGAAGCCATTTTTTTGATTGAAAACATTTCTGTTCGTTATGTGTTCTTTTATATGATTGTGTACCAAGTTCGTCTTTAAACTAGGAACTCCTCTATAGGTAAAGATGGGTTTATTTGGCAGGACCTTTTTCAAGAACATATCATTCATTAGAATTTGCCAGTATTTTTGGAAAATTCTTTTTAATTTATAGCTTTGACAGCTAAAATCGCAAATGAATGCTAAATTATGTTCCTCTGTCTCAATGAGCGTTGTTTTATGTTTTAAAAGTGACTCTCTATCCTTTAAAGCAACTTCACGTTGAGCTTTGTCCAATAATTGGGCATTATAACCTTTTTTGTTTAAAATCATTAAGGAATTTGCAGGATTGGATGTTAAAAA